ATCTTTTTTTCACGCTTGTCCTGGCCAACGGACAATTTTTTTATTTATTTATTTATTTATTCAAGCAGAATCAGTTACATTCATAAATACTTTGTTTCTGGAGATACAATGATGATTTTTTCCCTTTCCTTCCGCAGATACCGTATATACATTCACATACTGTAATTGCTTAGAGACCCGGGGATGACCCAGGAAACATTGGAGGGACTAGATCTCTCAGCTGGCCGGGGGACGCCTTGAGACTCCCCACATATGTTTGCGTCAATCTGATGCTAGTGATTCCAACAGCCTATAGGTTTTTTGTTGTTGTTTTTTTTTTTCAATTAAACATGTGTTGTACGGATCCTCCCTGTACCTCTTTGTTTTGTTTTCCATTTGTTGCCAATCTACTTCGGTAAAGTGCTTTCTATAAGGCGCAGAATGTTATAATTTATATAGCTCAAAGTTGAAATCTGAAAGAGTAGACATCACTCACCAAAAAGTTCTGGAAGACATTCCATTGTGAAAGGGAGTATTTCAAAGAATAAGAAAGTGTTGCACACGCCCCAAACAAAACCAATCAAAAATGTGTATTCCAGAACATATACAACAGAAATCCACCAAAATAAAACAAAAAAACGTACCTTGGCAAATCAGTGTCTGAAGAGGGGTTGGAAGTAGCAACTCTCAAAATATGATGTGTTACATGACGTTTCGGGCTGATATATCCAACATCAGATATTTCTTGTTTCTGTTGGACAAAAATATACAAAATGGTTGCCAGTGCAGGCGCTAATGTGCCTCAGTGAGTGATAGGTCCTGTTAAAGCTACACCGTGCAGTTTTTAGTGCCATCTAGCTTTGAGATTCTATATCGGAGTCCAAGGTAGTACGGAAGCCTTTGAGTTGAACTCTCAGTCATTCATCAGACTGCCAAGAAAAGAATACTTTAGTTTGAGAAATTACCGCATCTCTCCAAACGTCTCGGGCACTTGACAGGCCGACATGTAACTAAACAAGACGGCGTCCTGAAGAGGTACCCGCTGCACAGAGGCTCTACTGAGTTTTGCCATGGATCTATCACAATTTATAGTTTTACAAACATGGTGTGAAGAGAAGAGACACATGGAGGATTAACATCTGTGGGAGCTTAAAACGATGATGATCAGAGAAGCAGGACATAAACAGAGCCGCCGCTTAAAACTCATGTTAGCTTCCCGTGATGCCCTATCCGCATGACGGTAAGAAAAACAGAACATTCACTCACGCTGCTGAAAAAGTATTCTGGCGATTGTTTTGTGAGGAGTGAGTTTAGTTGAAACTTGTGACAGTTGGACTGCGCTCGGATCGGGTCAGAACATCCTGAGACGGTGTTACAGATTCTACCTCGTTCGTATTGTTCATGTGTGAGTTGTTGTGTACAAACTACACAATGTGCCTCCTGTTGTGTTAACGCTGTCTTTCGGTGCGTGTGGTTTGCGATGTGCTTCTGCTATGAAGCTGGACTTTTGCATAATTATTTTTCTAAAAGATTGTTGTTCTGATTGTTCTTTTACATAACTGTGATCCTCCGTGGTTCTTTTATATAACTGTGGCTCCTTCTTCCAACTTGTGAAGCAACAATATCAGTAGCTCATGTGAAACGAAAACGCAATTCTCGCATCCTTTTTGTCCCTTATCCACACGGAGGGTACTCCTCTCTTATGGACATTTACAAGTTAAATTCTAAGCCTATGAATGCAATTTAAAAAGGTAAATATTCTTAAAAAAGGTCACATTTAAAAAGTTAAACGTGTGTTAATGAAGCAGCTGTAAAAATTACACAGGGTGGCTTAAGGTCAGTCCATCTAGAACAGGCATGTCCAAACTAAGGCTCAAGGGCCAATTGCGGCCCCCTGTGTCATTTTAAATGGCCCTATGCCTTGCTAACCCAAAATACCTATAACACAAGTTCATAGTTTTAATAATAATAATAATAATGATGCATCGGTTTTATATAGCGCTTTTTTGGACACTGAAAGATGCTTTACATGTCATTATGTCATGGTTTAGATTTATTTCCTGTTTTATTTTGTAGTTTGTTATATCCCTGTGTCTGCTTTGGTTGCTCTTCCTGTCTTACCAGCCCTGCCCTCATGTGTATCACCTGTGTCTCGTTAGTCTTGTATTTAGCCCTGTGTGTTCCTTCACTCCCTGTTCCATCATTGTCATTTCTCGTCTGTTTTATTTCGGTCCTCGTTCCCTGTGTTTTTGGATTTGTTTCATCTTTTTATTAAATCCATTATTTTTTGCAGTTTTGCATTTTGGGTCTCATTTTAATTTCACCCTCGTGACACATTATTCATTCAGCTTTCACAGATGTGTAGATATGAATAAATCTCATTTAGAATCTCAAAATAGACCAATTCTTGTCAAAATAGTTTTACAATCTGTGTTGCCGGGCCCTGGACACTGTAGCAAACTAAAGTGGCCCACTTAGTTAAAAGTTTGGACATTGTGGATCTATAAAAACAAGTGATTATTTTGAATTTACAATTTAACATTTCAAGTAAAATCTTGTCAGAGACGTACAGTGTGATCTGGGCGTCTCTGCTTTACACAGCTGCCCTCGACACCCAGCAACAGATGAAGCTGAAAAAATTGATGGATGGCTTATATTTAAGCAGTACTTTTTTATTTTGCGGAAACTTGTCGCCTGCACTTTGGAAAACCTCTACCTCTCAGTGCAACTCTGGTTATTTCACACCAGTGCGATTCCGTGTGCAGTCGAGAGCAGCCAGATTTGTCATTAAACCCGAAATGATTCCCTTTATTGAGAAGCTCATAAAAATGCATTTGGGTTCAGGGGGACGACGCTAAATCAGTCCAGCGCATTTACATTTGGTGCCACTTAAGTAATTTGCTGCTTCATAAATTACACGCTTCGATGCTTATTTTCTGCACGCTCACTACCCACAATGCTACACTTTTCAGCAAATATGCAACGTTCTGTTTCTCCTAAATGCCAGGCAATTAGTTTATAGTTCCTTGATGGAGTATGTACAGTTATTGATCCCAAAAATTAAAAGTACCCAGGCACTCTGCGTATCTGTAGTTGGTCCCAGAAGCTGCACTGAAAAGTAGGGAAAAGTTTATCATGAGATTTAAGTTTGCACATTGGGGTGATAGTGGCACAGTTGGTAGAGCATTGGCTTTTGGGCCTGAAGGTTGTGGGTTCGGTCCCCCCATGAAACCTACTCCAACTGCTACTGCAACTGCAACTACTCTTGTCATATATTTTAACTGCTGAAAATGTTTCAATTGTACTGAATTTAGTTTTGTGTTAAATGTGAAAAGTTAATTTTGTCTCATGTGTAATGCTTAAACATACACATTAAACACAGGAAGAACAACATTAACTTTTTACATTTATGTTTTGGATTTCAGGTCAAAATAATCCTTTTCTCCTGCCTCCTCAACCCTACAGCGGTTCAATATTACACACTCACCTCACCGTCAATACTTTCAAACGGAGGTTGCAAGAGGATGTATCATATAAATGCCAGTTGAAAGTGTTGAAGCGTTAAATAGATTTTTTAACCCCAACCATTACATTTACAATATCCCTTTCCGATTGAGTTGTTTTTAGGTCTACTTTAGGTGCATCCCTGACACAAACATGTCCCCCCACCCTTTCTGTCTAAAAACAGTCGTGTCAAACTGGCTCCAGAAAGGGCCAGTGTGGCTGCAGGGTTTCATTAACACCCCTGGTCTAAATACTGCTGTCTCAAACATGACACGCCATGATGAATTCTTAGTTTCAGATTCTGTAATCATCTGATAATAAATGACAATCCAAGGTGAAAATCTGACTAAAACAAATTAGAACAATGCTCACCACAACAATTCATTTCCAGGCTTAAATCACAACATTAAAGTTATTCATACAAACCACATCGGCCAGCACTGCAAAAGCCTGTGCTCCTTGCTTTGTGTGCCCTGTGTATGGAAGGCGCTCTACATATAAACTTTGATTGATTGATATAACGCTGACTTTATATTTGGACATATTTCATATTTCCAAAGAGAATAAGCCTGAGTAAGCCTCGCAGGTGCTCTGCCACCCTCTTTCTGCCAGAAGGGAAAAACCAGCTCCACTCCACCAGCCTCCAGACCCCCAATCCTTCCAGTAGATAATATTTAATGAACGCCATTGATTGATATTGTAATAAATTTGACTAATCACTTCTCTGGCTCTTACATTACGCCGCCAGCCACTGTTTCCGCCTCTATACGTTATGTAATCAAGGAACAAATTATGCAAATTGTTGGAGGTAATCAGAAAGCTGGAGCAGAGCGATAGAGAAGTCTTGGCGACGTTAAGCTAATTATGCAAACTGCTGTTTTGTCAACTGCGTATTTGCTTTAATGGATGGACCACATAAACAATACACAGGATATAGATTTCCCGGCATATGGATAATAGTGGCAGTGACGGGATATCATATGAAAATTAATGTGGAGAAATGCTAATAATTTCACGTTGCCTTTAGACTACTGACGGTGCCTTTAAGCTGTTTGTTGCCATTTGTCTTGGCGCTCGAAGTTAAATCCTGAGACAGCAGAATCAAGAGGTGCAAAAGTTGGAGCAGTTATCCATCCCGACTGCTGTATCGAGTTTAAATAAAGTTCATTGTGCTGAGGAAAAGACGTAAATGTGTTTTCTTCCCACTCGCCAATGAATAACTTTAAACAATGTCTAATTGATATTTATTGCCTAAACTTTAAAGTAGTACTAGAATTTTATTTTACCAATTGCAGTTTTTGTAAGGTTAGAGCCGTATAAACATTTTGGGAGAAAAAAGAAAACTGAAAAAAAAGAGAAACATGTAAATTATTACACTTTTAGAAATCACCAGTTAAAAACATGCCACCCGACGTGTGACGTAGATGGTTGGCATCCCGCATTCGAACACGCGCCTACTCTGTGTACTGTACACTTACACAACCGCTTTTTTTTTTTTACTTTTCTTCGGCTTAACGATGGGGAAAACGTGTGTCGCTTACGGCTGTAGTAATGTAAACAAGGATGGCGTTTCATTACACAGCTTCCCAAATCCTACAACTGAAAAAGAGCGATTTGACGAGTGGAACAGACAAGTGAAACGGACGCGTCTTCATTGGACCGGCCCTCCGCTTCCCTATCTGTCTGCTGCGTGGAGATCCTGTGTTGTCTGCTCTGAGCACTTCACGTTGGACTCGTTTGAACACATTAATTCGGTGGCAGCGTCTTTGGGATACAAGACACGGGCTACATTAAAACCTGATGCCATCCCAACAGTCTTCAAACGAAAGAAGCCGAGCGAGGCTTCCCCGACTCCCGCAAGGACGGACAGACGCACACTTCTGACCCACAAGCTCGAACACCGGAGGGTAAGTTATGCTTTTTTTATTGTTCATTTGTTTTAGTTAAAACCCGAACTTATAGGCTTATTTTAGGTAGCCACAAACACACAAAAACCATACTAAGTCTAGTTACTGTAGCCTGTCATAAGCTAACCGTGTACTAGCAACACGGTTAGCTAGCCGCTGTCACTATTCCTCGAAGCACGTCCATGTGTGCCTTGGGATTTTGTGACAATCCTACGTAGCCCCGGTCTAATCCAGGAATAAACTAGGACTGAGACTCTTACTAAAATCTAATTGCCTTGTTTTAAGAGTTTTAAATGGGTGTCCTTCTTATTGTTAGCTTGAAGATAAATATAGAACGTGGTAACAAGTTGTAACTTGTGTGTAGGCAGGCTATTGCTTGGTTTAGTCCTGGTTTGGACCTGGTTTAGTTCTGGTCTTAGTCAGGGTTTAGTCCGTTTTTTTCTCTGCTTTAGTTGGCTTAATTTTATTCTTGTTTTAGCTCTGGCTTTGTCTGATTTTAGTTATGGGTTTGTTCCTGGTTTAGTCTGTTGCTGTTAACCCACAATTTCAATGAATTCAGGAGTTTCTTAAAGAAATATTCTGTAAAATGTGCATTGTTTTTTTTAAATAAATAGTCTTTAAATAAGTCTTAAAGGACCTTGATGAAATCTGTAGAAACAAGAACAAGTGATTCACAATTGGCAAGTAATTTAGCTTATTAAATTCAGTTTTTTTGTGATATGGACAGGTGTTGATGAGATCAAATATGACAGGTTATTCTTTTCTTTATTGCAGATGATAAATTCTCTCCTTATTCCTGCCATGGACCCTGTGCATCCATCAACATCAGCGGGCTCCTCAAATGAAGATGATGGCATTGGCACCTTTACACCTTCACTTCAAGATCAATCCACACAAACCACATTCAGAAACAAGTCAACGTACAGGAGCAAAGGTATGTTGGTACAGTTATATCCACATACATACACATATGTATATATATGTGTATGCATGTGTGTATATATATATTACTCATGTATTCAGCCATTTATTAATTAACTCAGCTAAACATTTTTATATTGATAGGAGTTTCAGTTCGACCCCGCCAGCGTTCCGTTTCCATACAGTGTACTCTACCATCCAAGAAGGCATGTAGCTCGGATTATCCAATTCATATTTTTGAAGTCCATGATGAGGATGAGGATTTCACCATAGAGGAAGCTGATGACCCTGATTACATCGCAGATGAGCAGGACATTATTGAAGAGTCAGAAAGGTATGTATTTTGTGGAGGTGCGAAAAAGTTGAATATTTCAGACACATTAACATTTTTTTATATGTAATTTCCAGGATTGAATCATGGCAGCCGGGAGAAAAATTTTACTTGGTTTCAGAGAGCAGCCTTTTGTCACTTTTTAAGATGTGCCCACAATGCACGACAGAAACTGACTGTTCAATAAGCACTGTATCTGGAACAGCAATATCCATAAAGCAAGAATGCCAATCTGGCTTTTGTAGATTTGAGAGACTGTGGAACAGCCAGCCAATGTTGTCGCGAACACGAGTGGGAAACATATGCCTGAGTGCAGCAATTCTCTTTGCTGGCCTAGCCCCATCAAAGGCCCTTCGTATGCTGCACCACATGAATGTACAGTGCATCAGCTATGATACTTTCATGAAACATCAAGCCCAGTACCTACTTCCGTCAATCAATGAAGTATTTACGAATCATGAAGATGAACTGTTGCAAAAAGTGAAAGTGACAAATCAAAGTGGAATAGTTGCAAGTGGGGACGGAAGAGCAGACAGTCCAGGTACATGATTTGATGATCAATAAATCAAACTCTTTATGAAGTGATTTTCATACAAAATGCAACACAAAGTCCTTTACAAACATTAAAATCAAATACAAGCAAAACAGTTTACCTCACAAACACACTTTCACACACAAATTCACACACATACTCAGGCTCACATAGTGAAACGTCTAAAATTGAGTTTCAGTTAAATACAGCATTCATGGGTTCATCTCTCTGCTCAGCTTTACCACATTGTAGTTGTCCATGGATTATGTGATTTTGTAAAGTGTCATGTAATTTTGGCCTAGGGCACTCGGCAAAGTATGGTACATACACAGTAATGGAGAGGAAAAGCAAAACAATAATTGCTTCCCAGCTTGTACAGGTGACGGTTTATATTTCATAAATATGCATGCATGTAAAAAGTAAATATTTTATCTATGCTTTGTTTTTCAGTCAAATGAAGTCACCTCAAGCGTAGCTATGGAGAAAGAAGGTTTACTCCGAGCATTAGATCAGCTCAACAGAAATGACGTTGTCATCAAGGAGTTGGTTACAGATAGGCATCTATCAATTCGCAAAATGATGAGAGAAACAAAGCCTGATATAAAGCACAGTGTCGACGTCTGGCATCTTGACAAAGGTGTGTTATAGGTCATACTTGAATTTAATTTTTAAGTAGAATTAAGTAATGTTTATTGTGCTGTTGCAGGTTTAGGAAAGAAGCTTCTTGCATTCAGTAAAGAGAGAGACTGTGGTCTTGTCAGTGAATGGAAACAGTCCATCTCAAAGCACATCTATTGGTGTGCCAATAATGGGGATGGTAATCCTGATGTCAATGAAGCCATTTGGAGAGGTTTGGCCAACCATATAAAAGGTGTCCACGAACATGAGAGTCCAGTATTTCCAACCTGTTTGCATGGTGAAATTGAGGAAAGAAAGTATTTTCAAAGCCGTGAGTATACCAAAATGAATATGTAAATTCTCAAATGTTGACTATTGTAATGATCATATTGCTTATGTACATTTCAGATAACGTGAAAAAAATGGTAAAATATATGTTAATAGTCAGTTTGTGGTTTCATTATATTATACTTCTATGTAGTGCTATAGATTAAATAAAACTGAGAACAAATGAAGAGTTTAAATGCCACACTGGATATCTTTGTTCTAAGTAATGGCAGAGAGCATTGATATCTGTTTAGTATTATTATATGTCAATTATTATTGACATATTTAGTGGAATCTGAATCTGATTTAATCCGACATTTTGAATTATATTTCAACCTCAATCAAATACAATTCACTTTTTGAAAACAAAACATTACAAAGACTTAACTAGAAGCATCCAAAAATATGTTCAAATGACACTTATCTGCTTTTGCAAATAAGCTCTTCAAGAAATGCATAATCTTTCTTGTTTGCATCACCTGCTGAGCATGAGGTCTGTGGTGCACAGGATCTATTATAGGCACTATCTGGCGTTTACTCAATCTTCCTAAATCACTGACAGTCTGTTCCTTCACCTCTATTGTCTCTAACAAATTTTTAAATGCTTGGCTTTATCTTTTAGTGCATGCACCATCTTCTAGGATTCAGTTTAATTTGCAATGGTGTTGAAATTAATCTGTTTTGTTAAATATAGACTCAAAAGCCTACACTAGACTCATCGAGACAGTCTTCACCAACAATGTGTGTCGAATCCTTTCACTCACTCCTCAATCACTTTGCCCCAAAGATGCTTCATTTCAGCTACCATGGTATTGAGGCAAGGTAAGCATTTATCTCCGTATTTTTTTTTTTTTTACCTATCATTATTTATTGTAATGAAAGCCCTTTTCTACCTCTTTTTTCATAGATATCGTCTGGCCATTTTGCACCACAATGAAAATGCAAACAGAAGTCAGGCAAAAACTAAGGATGGACAGGATAGATACAATTTGGTTTATCCGAAATTCAAGAAAGGGAGCCACACTCTATGCAAAATATTTGAGGGAGCCACTTACAGTAAGTTTTCAGCATTAACATCTACATCTAATACTTTACAACTCATTGTTGTTTGTATTCATGAAAGTTGTTATTTTACTTATAGACTACATTGATCCGTTGATGGCCTGTGTATGTAAGCGTCTACTGGCTGGCGAGAAGTACTTGGCTGAGAAGTCAAAACCACCGCCTCTGACCAGTCAATGCAATAAAGTCACAAAGGAAGATGCTATAAGACAGCACAAAACAAGATTCAAACTTAATTGAACATTGTGCAATAATAACACACTGATCTGAGTGAACAAAACATCTTTAATTGTAATAAAACAAATGTTTATACAACTGAAACATTTCCTATTTATTTAGTTACTATTCTAACTAATTTAAGGTTGGTAATTTAAAGCCCCTATATGTGCCACCTGCATCAGGATAAGTATCTCTTATTCGGACCAGAACACACGAGGGTAATGGCACCCTTTTCTTTTTCCCCAAAGTCCCGTAGCACCACTGGACAAATCTCCGATATCCTGTGTACCTGAATTTCCTGAAATTGAAAATGAATCCTCTATTAGCCAAAAGTTATTTGTAGAATTTTTTGTAAAATCTCAATTGCTTCCTTACGCTTCATTTGACAGATCGGGTTCTATGTACCCATCAGCTTTCAGGTACATATATGCCATCTCCAGTGACCACGGGTCTAAGCAAATGGACTCAAACCCCTCATGCTCTGTGATGCAGGATACGTCCTGTCCATTTTCTGAATTGTATTCCTCCATCCTTGCAAAAACTGCGTTTTTCTCCTGACAGCAATAACACTCTTCAACCTGAGACATGATTGCACATTTTTCGCACTGACACCTGTAAATTAAATCAATAGATAGTTTATCTATATGACTTATATTCTATGGTAACATGAAATTTATATCAAGCTTGATGTAGCCTAATGTTTCAATAATTTATATCATCATCATTATAAAATATAATAACAAACATTTGAATTCTGGTATAAGACCTTTACACAGTCCATAAAAATAGTTCAATAGTTTTCAATCTCACCAGTTTTTGTTTCCCACTCTGTGAATTTCCTCATTTTCTGAATCTGTCTCTCCTTCATTATTCCCATCAAGGGGCTGTGGTGTTGCTAGTGGCTCAAATGAGTAAGGATCAAGCTGTTGAAAATGTTCAGAATCAGATCCAAATTCAGGATCACTTCGGTCTTCAGAAACAGGACTGTGGCCACTTCCTACAGAGTCAAAACAAAAATGTCATAGTAATGATTGCAATAAGTTACAATAACGTGCTGCACAGTAAAAATAAGTTGAATAAAATAAATATTGTACTTTTATGAACATACTATAAGAACAAAAAGCTGCTGAAGTTGTAAAAAGACAAAAGAGCTAACATGATAACTACATGTAATGCAATCATTGATTTTTTTTATTTTATTAAACCGTTAATAGGATTTAGCATTTATGGATATTACAATGTACATTGTGTTAAATAAATCTAAGGCAACCAAAGTGAGACTGGCATAATGTGAAAACGAATATTAGCCTTGTTAGCATGTTTTATGATATCAAGTAGAGTTAGCTAACTTGCCTAACACTAGGGACCATTAGGCCAAGTTATTAGCTTGAATCTCACAAATAAGGCTAAAAGGTTAAAAGAGTTGCACACTATTATGTACAAAACTGATGAAAATATGTTTATACCTTGATCAGATGACAGTGAAACCTCCGAGTCTTCCCCAAATTCAACATCAATTAACTCGCTGTTCCTACAGATTCCAGTCATGACGGCTGTGAGATCCCCTTCTCATACGCCATCGCCGCCATTTTGGCCCCCCCTAGCGTTTCAATGCGGAAGTGAAAAAGTGCAACTTGGAAGCCGTTTTTTTAACAGAATTCATCTGAACATGTCAAAATGAACACCCGAAATATTACAAACACATATAGTAGTTATATATTCTGGATAGCAGCAACTTAAATTCTAGTACTACTTTAAGCCATGATTTGGATTTAAACTTTGAGAGGATATTTATATTGCTAAAGACTTGAATTAGTGACTGCATGTTTTGTTCAGTGATTGTACAATAAATGTCTTTATGTATTGTGCAGTTTTTTTTAACTCAAATTCCTTCATCCACCATTCAGACTTTGGAAAAAGGCCTTAGAAAATAGTTTAATTTGGATTCATTTGTTTCCTCGCTCCTCAGTTATTGACATTGACAGACATTTTTTAACTTCAAGTCCTTTGAGATACATTCTAAAGTGAGATCTGCTAAGAGCACATTATGAAGAGTTGACGATACACAATTAAAGGTGTATTACGCAACCTTATGTGGAAAAACAAGCTTAGGGTGGGAGCTTAGAAGTTTGACATGATCCGACAACTTTTCAGGCTTATAGAGCAGGGAACAAAGAAGAACACAAAATGCATGTATGAATGTATGTTTGTATAATAGAATCAAAACTTTGGATTGAAAGCTGATTGGCTGAGTGACTTTTTCAGTTTTTACAGATCAGTGAGAAATTTTTTGATGAGAACTGTTACTTCCTGTGACAATTATTGTTATATATTTTTTTTCATGATATCAATCTGGTGCAATGTTTCTAAAGTTTTTTTTTATAGTACTCTTTTTCTCTCCTTTAACCATGTTTGGAGATTGTTCGCTATCAAAAACGGACCTGGAGTTGTTTTTTGATTCATCCATGCTATGAATTAGGCATAAACATTTAACTCCGCCCCCTCCATCTAAAAATTTACTTCCAGATTGCTAAACTAATTTTGGCAAGTTGTCACGTCATATTTATAATCACCTGTCTGTGTTTGCCTTTGTTAATATTCAAATTTGAGAAAAAATAACAAAATACACAACATTTCCACCTCCCTTTGGTGGGAAATCAAGCTGATAGCATTGATTAGTCTTTTAATTTCATCTTTTTTCTTTCCTTTTTAATTTTGTATCTAATATGGACATGACGACAACATTGGACAAACCAGATGCATTGCTGTAAGTGTTTATGAATACTGTGTTTAGTCTCCATAATTATTTCACAACACATTATCTACCGTAGACATTATTTTCACGTTCTAAAACACAAAACAACAAAGTAAATATTCTCCATCAATTTCAATCACAGAAAATAACAGCATACTATTTCTTCTTTTCAAAGGCGAAACATGAGATAATCCCTGGAACGCCCGTCATGACTATATTAATGGTTTGAAACATAAAACGTATAAGTGACAGAAAATGAAAAAAACACAATGTTCTAGTTTGGAGGTGCAGATTTACGCTCATGCAGTCTTCGGCAGCTGAACTCATGTTGCTGCCAGCGCGGGAATGTACTGTTTGTTTATAAATTACCTTTGTGTGTCCGTGCCGTTGTAAATCAGCTCTTCCTTTTAGACGCGAGCCAATGCGATCAGTACGGACATTATTGATAGCACTCTGCAGACGGCGCACTTACCAAAGTCTCCTTTTGTCCCCCACACACGCCAACATTCGGGGGCAATAAATCCTTCTGTTCTTTTGATTTGCGACATTGTCTTGCACTACAGTGGCTGCAGATGTTGTTTGTTGGATAATAAATTTAAGAACACTAAAATAGAAAAGAGAAAAAAAAAATGCCTGGAACCTTGAGTTGTGAGCTGGAAAAGGTGACTTAGATTTTTTTTTAATGAATATTCACCAATTTTGACTGCTTTCAAAGTATGTAAGGAAAGGAAAGGTTATTTGTATAGCACAGTTCATAAATAACGTAAGGCTATACTCAAGGTGCAGAACAAAACAAGATAAACTATCACATAAGGTATTCATATCTAGAATCACAGTACATAAAAAAGAGTGAAGATACATTCTGTTACAAACTGCTTTAAAGCTGCACTAACTTACTTTACTTTTGTATTCATTACGAAAATTCAATCCATATCCGTGCAGTGCATTGGGATATACGTCCTTTTGAAGAAAAAGTAGCGCAGATTTGTGCTGGCGTATCATTTTATTTTAGATCGAGTTTTCTTGCAACAAGAAAGAGAATTTGTTTCGGGACCAGATTGTGACCAATCACAGCGGACCACTGGCCCCCACTTTCTTGAGTGTCTTTGTTACCGGTTACTGCTTACACAGCGACACAGCCGTCCAAAAGAGAGTCTCGTTCCTCTGCGCTTCCTGGTTCTATCATTCTATGATCACGCCATTCATGTTGAAATGTGCGATCCATATTGTGAGACGTTAGCGCCGTAAACAATTAGCACATGAGCACAGGCTGAGGGGAGGGGGGTAGTGGGAGGCGATAGCTTTGTGAGTGCGGGGAGGGCGAGCAGAAAGAGCGAAGTGAGTAGAAGCCTGTTTCACATTTTCAAAGAGACTGTTCCAGATTTTATTTGCATTAAAGAGCTGATATCAAAGTGTCGAAACTCAAAATAATTACATAAATAACACACAATTTGACATTTCTTGAGCATTTCATAATACATTTTGAAATTGTATCAGTATAAGTTGTCTAAAGCTGTATTCCCTAAAAAAGTTTATTGTCCATTTTTTTATGCTTTGGTTTAATGTATACCATAGTAATGATTTTTATTGCATTTATATTTACATTAAGTTTTACTACTGACTTTTTCTCATTCACTTTATTGAAATGTAAACTCCTCTTAAGGTTAAAGGTATATATGAGGATTTTCTACTTCCGGGTGGATCACCAAGACTATTGTCAATCATTCTGATGATACGTGCTCGTCAAAAAAGACAAGAGAGTTTTCTTCAGAGAGTGGAGAGGGCTGTTCTTTCCTAAAATTTGGGTTAATCCTTCTACATACCTTTGAGTGTTGTAGATTAAAGCTCCAAAGCAAAAGGAAGAGACAGCAGATGTTTGACAAGTGTATTTACTCTGCTGGAGTGGAGTATGCAGTGGAGGCAGGGAGCAGGTCGCCTTAGATGGAGCAGGAGACCGGACTGACTGAAGACGCAGGGACGAGACACACAACCGGATCTGAAGAGACAAGAAGCAGTAAGTGAGTAAAGGCAGATCGACAAAACACAGGGAAGATCAAAACACCACAAGAGCTGGATTCCCTACCGACTGAGAAGGAACTATCTGCAGCAAGGGACCACATTAAATACTTTAGATTCTAGGTTAAAGCATCTTTGGAGATGGTGGTGTAAATGTGGAGAGGGAGGTTTTTCCAAAGTATTGGGTGCCACAGCAGAAAAAGCTCAGATCTCAAACTGAAGTATTTTTATAAAATCCCCTGTGACCGCAACCCCCTGGACTACAGATGAAAACTAGCCTTTGGCTAAAATCTGACTTGTCGACAATATGTTAATTAACACAAAATTGTACACATTCCTAAATGATAAACACATGGATGATGTCACATTTCTGGGTTTACAGTCTATGATCTCACAAAGCATGGTGGGGTTATATTACAAAAGTGTTTTTATATCACAAACTGGTTTGTGTTGCTAGCCATGGTCTTAGAGAGCGTTGATGTGTTGATGGTGGTGACAGGGGACTCCCAGCCTTCCTCCTCTCATAGATAACAGTTTTGGTTTGAGAAAGTAAATCCAGACCATGTGGTCACATGACATCACTCAGGGATTTAAGTGTCAGACATAAGATTTATCTGGTTGTGTCACAATCATCTGTAATGATGTCTTGTCTTCTTTCAAAGTAGTTCTTCACTCTATCTTCACTCTAGCATCAGTTTGGTTTTCACTAGGATTCCTGGACAGACATTTCTTTGTCTCTGTCAC